ACACATGGAAAGTATAGGATTGAAATAAATTCCTATCTAATTTATTCTTTATTGGTCTCTTTTCGTTGTGTGGGTGTTCAAGGTGATAAAGGACATTTATCTTCCCAGGATCCACTGCTCCCATGGCATTCCCTGTGCTCCTCTCAGACCTACAGACAGAACACAAAATTAACTTTTCCAAGCAGTATTTTCGGGAGGGTGGCTATAAATAACCCAGGTTTGGACAATGTACCAGGACTGACACCCTCAGCCTTGCAAATTGTGCCCCGGGATCTTCCGTGGCCACAAGTGGGCAGGAGTTGGGGTTTGGCATCCCACAGGGACATATTTTCTTCCTGACCTCAACCTTCGTGTCCCCTGTGGTGGCACCTTCCCCTGCAGGCTGGCAGCTGGGGCCTGGGGACACTGGAAATAGCCAACATTTATTTCATTTATTTCATTTATTCCATTTATTCCATTTATTTCACCCATTCTGTCCTTCCTTTAAAATGCACTGCCCAGATAAGGGCCAGCCAGCATGGAAGGGAACTGGGAAAGGTTCCACGAGCAGATTAACTGAGGGAGGAAGAATTCCAGGGCATCATCCGGGAGCTCTGTCTTGTTTTGCTGCTTTGTTTGACATTGTCGAGTTTGTGCTGTTTAATTTTGGGTCCTTGTTTCATCTTAGTTTTGGACTTCGGGGCTGTTGCAACTTGCAGAGTTACCGAGTCCCTTTAGCACTTATCTTATCTGGGTTTCCTCATTTCCACTATTAGGTGATGTCTGACACCTTTTGGGTCCAATCTGGTTGTCTGGACATGCAGTGAGTCACTCCCCCAGCATTTTCCGACCTCCCCTCACCCCTGCTTTGAGGGGAAACTCTTTTCATCAGGTTATCCCAGCCCTTTGATGGGTACAGCCACATCTGGATGAGGGTTAAGATGGAAATCTTACAGAAAAATAAAGTTGTTCTGGTCATTCTTCAGGAGGGAATGAAGTTGGAGGATGTGGGAAGTACTCTGGATGTTTTCAGATTGTTGGGAGTGGTTCTGTGTTGTGTAGCAAAACCTCGTGCTCTGGGTGCTGCTCACTGCTGCAGAGCAAGGGAATGACCCCAAATGTTAAACAAGGAGCTGTGACAGCAGGAGGACACGAACGCTCTGATTTCACCCGTATTTATCTGCTCTGATCGATTCCTGATGATGGTTTTCTCAGCCCCGAGGCCCTGGACACTCAATTTCCACCTCACTTTCTGCTCTCCAGCATCCCAGAAGAGCCGAGTGATGCGAGCTGGGCCCGGGTTATCGCCGATTATTGCTCAGCAGTGCCTTTGATCCACCGCGGGCTGATCCCATCGCAGCCGGGGCTTGTAATTGCATTCCAATGGGTATCCCTAATTCCCCCGGAGTGCGGACAGCAATCCTCTGAAGTCAGGCTGCTTCCTCTGCATTGGGACTGCTGGCGGGTGCCCAGTGTTTACCCTCTGAGTCATTTGCGAGTGTGATGCTTGGCTAAAAAAAAAATTGTTTCCAGGAGCCCTATCATCATTAATCATTAATTAATGCGATTGCCCACGGTTGGAGCTGAGCAGGTGCCTCGGGCCGGACGGGAAGGGCCTGCGGCACACAGAAGGTCTGGGCTGTCCCCATCCCATCCCTGCCGGGTGATCCAAGTCACTCAGCAGTGGCAGAACCTGGCATTTTTCCCTGCCCAGAGGAGTTTGCCATCTGAAGAAGTGCTGCTTTCTTCATCCTGCCTCTCCAGCCGTTCCCACGTCAGTCAGCGGGATGAATTCCCATCTTGCTTTTATTGAAATGGAAATGAAGGCGCTCAGGACTTCACCCAACCTGCTGAGGGAAGCTGGATTGCAGGGAGCATGCCAGGGATGAGTTCGAGGCTCTGTTCTTCCAGCTTCCACCCTTGAAATGTGCTGGAATTACGGTTTGGGGATGGAAACAGGGAGAAAAAGGGGATTTGAGGGGGCTGACAAATGCCAGCACTCAAATCTTGAGGTATAATGCCAGAGTGGGGAGAAGTGGGGACAAGAAATCAGTGAGGGAAGGGGTGGGTGGTTCAAAGGAGGACCTAAACCAGAGCTGCACATCTGGCTGAGGTGAAGGATCCAAATCAGAGCTGCACATCTGGCTGAGGTGAAGGATCCAAATCAGAGCTGCACATCTGGCTGAGGTGAAGGATCCAAATCAGAGCTGCACATCTGGCTGAGGTGAAGGATCCCCCAAACACTGCTGCCAGGACTTGCTGGTGGCTCTGTCACACCTGAGGAAGCCTTTGGGATGTAACAGCTCCCAGGTTCCTCAATGAGACCTGCAAAGTGCTCAATTAAAATATGATTGGTTTACTGGGGGAAAGACAATTAGGAATGAGTTGATGGATGACTTGCTGCTGCTGGATTTGAGAGCCCTGTGTTCTGAAGTCCCTCCCAACATTTCTCACTTAGCTGTTAGACCAGAAATAAAAGTCGTTTTTGCATTAAAAAGCACTTTCATAAATCATTTCCATTTTGTCTATTAAGCAAAAAGAAAATAATGCTAGCAGTATTCATCATGTCAGCCTTTTAAAACATTTTTACCCCAATACCAAGGGTGATAAAAACATCTTCTGGAGCAAAAGAAAGAGCAAGAGAGTGATGGGAGTCTTTAGTTCCCATAAATTTAATTGCTATAAAGTCTGGACACCCTGGGCGGATGCCTTGGCTCAAAAAGGACCTCCTGGCTCCTCCTTTTTGTCTTGGTTTTTAATTGGAGCCAGGAGCAGGAGCCCAGCATTTGCCAGGTGAATGCAAGCTGTGCCCTGGCAGGACGCCTGCAGAGCCATTACTGGTTTGGAGATTAAAACAAGGACAGGGAAAGGGGTGGAGAGGGAGGAGAAGGAAACCCGAGAGAGAATAGCAAAACACTTTGTTCTAATTCAGGTGAAAAAGTTCATCTGGGTGTCCTCACAGAGCGTCTGCCACGTACAGGGTGGAGGAGGAACAAATTCCTTTTGGGCATGTGTTATATTCCCGAATTATCCCGGTGTGCCAGCCTCTAGGAACAGCCTCAGGCTGCTGCCTGCTCAGACATCATTCCAGGGGGGAGCTCTGGGAGCAGCTCAGACACGGGGCTGATTTTTGGGTGCTGTTTGTGGTGTTGGGACTGAACCACTGCAGCTTCGGCTGTGTTTGATCCCTGCCTCTCTTTCCTCAGCCTTAAAATGTGCAGGATCCTGATCAGAGCATGAGGAACTGAGCGCTTTCAGCTCCTGCCTGGCAAAGCCCTGGCAAACAGAGCCTCTGAGCCCATTTTCCAAGCTGGTTCTGAATGGACCCCCTCTCCTGGTGGGGTTTTAATTCTAATGGACTTCACAGCCAAATCCCACAGAATCACAGAATGGTGGAATGGTTTGGGTTGGGAAATCTCATCTCATTCCACCCCTTGCCATGGCAGGGACAGCTTCCACTATCCCAGGCTGCTCCAATCCTCGTCCTTCAACACTTCCAGGGATGGGGCAGCCACAACCTCTTGTATTCTTTATACATCCACACTTTCTCTTCCTTTAAACAATTAATTCCTGTTATTAAACCCCTTAATTCCCAGATTTTCCTGCACTCAGTGCTCGGTCACTGATGGCAAAAGCAGCCTTGCACCAAATCCCCCTGAAATTCAGCGTTACCGCTCCCACAGAATGCGTCTGCTGGGCGGTTTGCCATCCAGAGAATTTTCTGATACAAAATAATCTCTTTGCAAGATCAAAACTGCTCCTGGAGCCTGCCACGGTTTTGCCAGAGAAATTCAACTCATCGGTGGGGAAATGGAACTGACAGCATCCCGCCTGCCCACCTGGAAGCCTCACAATGGAATTTTTTTATTTTTTTTTTGCTGTCTATTGAAGGAAAAAAAAAACCTGAAATAAAACATTTCTTTAAATTTTCAAGCAAACAAATAAAAACTTAACAGAATTTGGAAATCCCTGCATGCAAATGAATTTATACCAGGGTTGTTGCTGCCGTTTTATTGGGTTTTTTGTCCCTGTCAGAATAATTTCCATCATTAGTTTATAATGATTTTTTTTTCTTTTTTTTTCTTTTTTTTCTGGAGAGGAAATTCCATTTTCAGACAAGTTTTGGACTAATGAATTGAAACGAACTGGGAAGACAAGGTAAGGAGCAGAGAGAGCAGGGAAGGAGTCACAGGACATGCTTGACCTGGGAAAAATTAGTTCACCTATTTGACAAAAATTATCTTTTGGCTGAGCCAGAGCCATTTTCCTGTGGAATGGAGTTGGTTTCTAATTGATTACACGCAGAGGCCACTCAAATGTCTGAAAGGCAACGCTTGGACATTTTTATTCTTTGTGTTATTGAAGAGATCCCAAGTTCAAACCAAACAAGTTTTCAAGCTGCCATGTTTTCCATTATGTTGGTAATCAATTCCCTGGAATTCTGGCTGGCTGGAGATGTGAGTTCAGACCTCAGAAGGATTTCTGCACTTAGGAAATCCTAAAGTAGAGTCCAGTTCCTTTTCTGGAGTGGCTGAGACACCGAAAGCCCCAGGGAGGGGTTGGTCCCATCATTATTTCAGTTATGGGACCTTTCCCTAAACGACAGCAAATTTCACTCGGATGTGATTGTATCCTCTAATTTTATAAATAGCCATATCCAAGGTCTTAGGGGAATGACCCTAAAATCCACCCCAAATTCCCTTACATATCTATATCCCAGTATTTATTTGTTGGAGAAGCACTTGTCTTTATTTGCCATTGTTTGTGCTGAGTAAACTCCTTGGAGACAAGGAGCAAATTCCTCGGGGAGCTTGTGGCCAGATCAATTTGTGGAGCTGTTTCCATGTTTTCTGATGCAATCCAGTGTAACAATGTTGTATCCCAGTAAACATGGAAATGAAGCAAGGAAAACATTTCTCAATCCACTTCCTAAAAATACTGCTCTGGCTGGGGAGGGGCTCGAGTTTTATTCCAGGAGCTCGTTCAAGCCCTCCTCGGTTTCCACAATGTCTCGGATTTGACTCAGGCTTGGATTTCATGGATTTCTGGATTGGGTAACAAAGCGCTCCGTGGGCCAAATGCCCACGAGCGTGACATGCAAGAGCCATTCCGGAGCCCAGTGTGCTGTTCCTGGGTGGAAAAGTGCCAGGCATGGCTGGAAGCAAGCTCTGGATCAGGCAAGGTGGGCAGATCCCCAAGCTGAGTGCTGGGAGAGGCTTTCTGGAGCTGCCTTTTGAATATTCCCATGCTTTGTTCTGCAGGGGGAGGAAAGGTGATGCCTTTCATGGGTTATTCTGGGATCTGGGGGGTTTGGTTTAATTCTCTTTCTTCCCTTCCTTCCCTGCTGACTTCTCAGATGGAATCTGATGGAAATCCAGGTTTGGAGGTGCAGGTAATGACAGGGGACCAAATTCTCTGGGTGTTGGGGTGAGATGGGGCTGTGCCTGGGGAGGGGCTGTGCCTCAGCTCTCCCTTCTCTTGGGAGAGTGGAGAACTTCCACGGGCAGAGCCTGGATCTCAGCCACAGCACAGATTCCTGCCTGTCCTCCCATCCCTCTGTTCCTGTTTTTGGGGCACCTGACAGAGCACATCGTCCTCTGGTGCTGATAAAGAGCCCTCCCTGTGCATTTTCAGCCCCTTCCCAGAGGGAATGGATTCCAGCAGCGCCATCTCAGCCGGATGGAGCTGGTCCAGCTTTACCCAGGGCGATTCTGTGCGGTGACATTAAATCTGAGGGGTTTCTCCAGACACAGAGATTGTTCCATGGTGAAGAAAGTCCTCCTGCCCCTTTCCTCCCCACGTGTCTCTGGGTGTGCCTAAAAATAGCCCAAAACATCTGAAAACGTGCTCTCATCTTTTAACAGGGAGGGGGATGAGGTCACAAGGCTGGGAAGGGACTGGTGAGAGAACGCTGATCTTGACACATCCAATGGATCCAAGTGGGGTGAAGAAGGGTGGGGAAAAGGGGCCCAGAATGTTCTTTTCTCCAGTGTTTTTGTCTCTGTCTTTGGTGCAGGTGAAAGTCTGTGGGTTAAAACCCCTTTTGATATACAGAAGGCAGGGTGGGATGGGATCAGCTGTTCTGCTTTCAGCACTGTGAGCGGCACAGAGATGGGACAAAGAGAAACCAATGGATTCAAGCACAAAAACCAAGGTGGACATGGACAGAAAAAGGCAAAACAATGGATTCAAGCACAAAACCCAAGGTGGATATGGAGAGAAAAAGAGAAACCAATGGATTCAAGCACAAAAAGCAAGGTGGGCATGGACAGAGCATGGAAAGAAAAACACAAAGCAGTGGATTCAAGCTCAAAATCCAGTGTGGACACAGCCAGGGCACAGCTCTGCTCCACTCCCTTTGTGCAGAAAGAAATGGAGGGATTCTCCTTGCACATGGTTTGGATCAAGTCCTTCCCTTTGGGTTTGGAAAATGTGGGGTTTTTTGGCATTTGTCGATATCCCAGCCCTGCCTTGTCCCTGCAGAAAAGCTGAGGGTGCACAGGGCAGGGAGCTCAGGAGCTCAGCAAAGTGAAATATCCAGCAGTCCACAGGAGCAGGCAGCATCCAGGCTGGAGGTTCTCATAAGAGTTAATAAAAAAAGGTATTAAATATCCTTCTGCCACCCCGACAGAGATTGCCTGGGATAAATATTCCCTGAATTCTCATTTCCTGCTCCCGCACATCGGGCAGGGCTGGCAGAGTCACTCAGGCATGAAACGCTTTGCTCCAAACTCACAGCAGCTCCATTCCAGGGCTGTTCTTTGCATAATTGGGTGCTAAGGAAAACAAAGCCAACAAATTGCTGATAATTACCCAGTGTCAATTATGGGGGATAGGTCAGAGGTGCAGCAGGAGGGTGAAGCCTCCAGGTGTGTGAGGGTCAAAAGCGACTGGGTTTTGAGGGGAAGCTTGTTAGGGGTAATAGCTATCAGAGCAACTGCACTGACTCGTGTTAAAGCCGTGTTTAACAACGTGTTCTGCAATATTCCAAATATTCCAGGAGAGAGGGAGCGCTGCCAGTGGGAGCTCTGGGTTAGGGGCCCTGAAAAGAGCTGTGAACGCTCAGGTTGTGTAAGGAGTGGTACAGGACAGCTGCACTGGGGGACCACAAAAATCCTGTTGGAAAAGAGAACAGAGGTCCCAAAATGAATTCAGTACCTGAACAGAGTGGAAGTTGTTTCCCAGGAAAATCTCCATGGCACTCCAGATGGCTGGGAAGAGAAATCTCTGTTGGCTGAGGTGCGAGTGTGAGGGTCAGGAGGGAATGAACTGATGCTTTGGATTGATCCAGAGCCCAGTGCAGGTGGCAATGGATCACTGGATCCATTCCCTCTGAAACTGCAGAGTTCCCTGGCTCTGAGGAACACGAAAAAATACGGAGAGTCTGAGGAACTGAAGTTCTTTTGGAAATGGCCTTGCTTTTAACTCCTTCTGCTCCTTATTGCTGCCAAATCCCCTCCAGGAGTTCCTTGGGTGGGAGACAGCCAGCCTCCCAAATTTCCAGGGGTGAGAAAGGCTCTCCAGGGCACACAAGGTGTGTGTGCTCCTCGCTCCTCTCAGTCACAGCTCCTCACAAGATCACACAGGGCACCCAGGGGACTTTGCTGGGACATGACTTCTCTCTCTCCTTCTCTCAGGGATTCTCTTTCCCGTCTGTCTTCAGCTGCAGCAGCCCAGGCAGGAGAGGAGCTGCCTGACAAAGGTTTCATTGACACAAGTGGATGATTTTTTTGCTAGAAAGCACTTCCTCCTCTGCTGAAGGCTTTGAAGTGTTGCCTTTGTTCTTTGAGGCTTGCTAATTTTTTTTTCCCCCCTCTCTAAAAATGATAGACAAAATACTTGGAAGTCATCTTTTAGACCTGACAGAATAACAGGAGCAGCAACAGAAACCCTTCATTTGAAAAGGTGTCACCCTGCTCGAGTGCTGCATTTGAAATATCATTTTCTAATCCTTGCTAAGAAAACAGTGCCTTGAATAACTGAAAAGTGCTGGTTGGATTTTAAACCGTGATTTACTCTTCAAGTTGTCTTCTTCCTTCTGTGTATCCCTGGCTCTGCTGCCTCTGATCTTTGTCCCTCTTTCATGTGGCTTTGGCTTCGCTATCTGCAGAATGGATTTGTGGAGATGAGCTCCCTGTGAAGTGCAGGGAATCCGCATCCAATTGTGAGGCAAGGGATTATAAAGAAATCTGATTTTTAATATCTGAGCAGTCTGGTAGATTTGGGCATTCTAAAACCTGAAATTCTGTTGTTTCTTTTTTTCGTTCCTTAGCACCAGGTGTTGTGTGGAGAGCCTGGTTCTCCATGGCTGAATAAATGGAAATTGCAGTTCCTTGGTGAGAGGGTCAGATCTGCTTCAGACCCTGCAGGATCAGGTCCTGGAGGTGCCAGGTGAGGAGAAGGACCTGTGATAACACTGCCAGCAAGGAAATTCCTGCTCCAAAGAGCTCCAGCTCAGTCAGAGCGCAGAGATCAGGGACAACGTGCTGTGGTTTGACACCAGAACCCGGGGGTGAAACATGCCTGGGGTAACTCCTGATGAACTCTGCTGCTGAAAGGTTTCAGCTCCCTCTCTCCAGGCTGTTCTCCACCAAAGAGTGTTCCCTTGGCAGGGAAGGATGGGTGATTCCAGCGCTGCAATTCCTTTTGGTGCTCCCAGACTGAGCTGAAAAGCTTTTGGATGGAGCCTGGGCTTTTTGTTCCCCAGGCCACAATCAGTGGCTGATCTGCATCTGCTCTAAGCTGGCAGCCAGGGAGAAAGTGGAGAGAGCTGAGCAGCAGCAGGGCAGATTTCTGTCCACACTCAAATCCCCGCGTTTGGAAATGGAGAGGAAAAATAAACGCCGTGCAAGAAAATTCCTGAGTGAGTTCACACAGAATCCCAGGGTGGTTGGGGTTGGAGGGCTCAGCCAGTGCCACCCCTGCCATGGCAGGGACACCTTCCCCTGTCCCAGGCTGCTCCAGCCTGGCCTTGGACACTTCCAGGGGTCCAGGGGCAACCGCAGCTTCTCTGGGAATTCTGTGCCAGGCTTCCCCACCCTGCCAGGGAAGGATTTGTTTGTCACATCCCATCTGAACTGCTGGTTTGCTTCCAGCTTTGTCATCTCCATTTCCTGGGAGCGCTGGCAGTGGCACCCAGAGCACTCCTGGCTGCTCCCCACCCTCCTCAGCAGCTCAGGGTGGAATTCCCAGCAGGACCAGCAGCCTCACTGGGATCAGGAGATGCTTGACCTGGGAAAAATGAGTTCACCTATTTGACAAAAATAATCTTTTGTCCCAGGGCCCTGCAGTGGCCTGAGGGCTTGCACAAGGCAGTCAAAGAGGAGCTGATGAACCCTGGGAAGGCACTAAAATCAGGGCAATCATCCCAAGAACCCCACAGAGTGCCCTTGTGTAAATCCCTTAAAATCCAGCCAGGCTAATTCTGCCTCTCTCTCTGCTCTGGTGCCTCTCCCTGAGCTTAAACAACAGAGCTGGGTGAGATTTTATAAACTGAATTTTCAACAAAATGTTTGCCCATAATTTCCCAAATATTTCATTAAAATAATGTTTTTATGAAGGAGTATTTTTAGTGTGGCTGTCACTGATGGGAAGCCCATCTCACTTCTGCTGAGCTGAATTTTCCTGCCTTCTCATAATTGGGATAACTTAGAGGTCAGTCTTTACGAACTGTAAAAGATCAGAGTTATTGGGATTTATAGGGGGGGAAAAAGATCATTCTTTGCTCCTTGTTCTTTGTGCTGCTCCTCTCCCTCCTTCAGGACTGCAGCAGCAGAGGAAATAAACCCCAATAAAGCAGCCTAAACGCTGCTTTTTTCCCAATCCCCATTCTTAGCAGAAGCAATGCTCAGCTGGAAGCCCAATAAAACCTTTGAAGCAGTAATTTGCTCCCATTCTTTTAAAGCCTTTTCCCATTTGAAATATTAGTATAAAAAGGGGATTTGAGGCATCGGGATCGCCAAAGCAAACATTTGACACGCTGTTATATTAGACTTATAGAATATAAAGCTCAGGCACGTGAAGCCAGGCTGCTGCTGGGCTGGGGATTTGTGCTTGCTTCTGCAGGAAGGACAAAAATGATGGAAAAATTCTGTTTCTGTGTGCTTGGACTCGCTGTTGTTAAAGAGGAGGAGGATTGCACCAAGCTGGGATGGCAACAAGCTGTAAAAAGCAAATCCTCCTGTTGTAGGATGGAGGATATTGGCTGATTTCTGTCTTTCAGCACAAGCCCAGTGCCACTGACACCCTTCCCTCTGCAGGGCACAGATATTTATATTTGGGTGTTGTCCTGGAAACTCCCCAGGCTCAGAGGTTCCTCTGGGTTCTGTTTCTGAAAGGTGACACCCAGAGCCCAAATCCCAGACCTAAGGGAGGCTTTTCACTCCATGGCCCAGAGCATGTAGAGCTCAGTCCCCTTCCTCGGACTCAGCTCCTGCATTTTGGGAGCAGGGGGATGGATGGAAAAATCCCCAGAGCAACAAACAAGTGTTTGGTGTGCAGAGAGTTTAATAAAAGCCACTTTTTGCCATCCCTCCCTTTCTTTTCCTCCCTTTTTTCCGCTGTCTTGGAGGCCAGGGAAGCTCCTCTTTGCCTCCCTATCCAATTCCCCATTTTATGAAATCTGGTGGAAACCTCTCTTTAAAATCTTTATTCCCTTGAAATTATCCATGGTTAAAAACTTTTGGGATAGAAAGGAATGGCAGAAGAAATCCACACGGCTCTTTTGGCTCCCAGGTAAAACATTCCACATGCCCAAGGTGAAAAGCAAGGCCTGATGCTCTGTGTTTGTCATCTCCACTTGCAAATCCAACACTGGAGCCCTCTGTTCCTGCTGGAAAGAAAAACAAACTGGGAACAATGGGAGAAAGCCCAGAGCCCGGCCTGGAGGGGGAATTCAGTCATTTCCCAGGCTCCAGCTGGAAAAGGGAATCCCAGTGCTGGGATTGGGGTGTGAGGGAGCAGAGGGGCTCTGGGCTGGTGTCTTTGCCCTGTCATCGCTCCTGAGCCCTGTGTGCTCGCTCATTCCGGCCTCTGATGGGGATCCGGGGATTTCAAACCTTCACTGAGCTCATTTAGGAGTCTCCAGCTTCCCTGGACTCTGCTCTTACCCGGAGCCGTGCTCTGAATCCAAGGAGAGGGAAGACGGGGGAAGGTCTAAATGAGTTTATTTCTGAAGGCAGTGCTTGGAAAAACCCACCGAGGTAGCCAAGAGCAGAAAATCCTGTTTGAAAGAGGGATACATTCACTGTTCTGACCCCAGAATAAAGGAGGAGTCTTTAAATAAAACCCTGACTTTTAACGAGTGACACCAGAAGTGCTGCTTGACTGCTGCACATGAGCTTCTCCTCAGCAGAGGCACAGAAATTAAGAAGAAAAAAGAACAAATGAAGCCCTGCACGTGCATTTCAGATGCTGTCCTTCCCCAAAAAGCTGCATTTCCCAGCGTCCATGTCCCGGCCGTGCTGGAGGCGCGGAGGTGCCGAATGGAACCTGCCCTCACAAACGTGTCGCTGTTTTTCCTTCGCTCGTGGCATAAATCATAGGAGGGGAAAAAAATCCTGTTAGCACAGAGCTCAGGTTTGTTTATTTTTTTGCCAGCTGCAACATGCTACCCTCTTAGGGGTGGTGGAAAAGCGGGGCTGCTGGAGGCTGGAGTGACATGTCAGCCCCAAACTGGGGTCTGGCCCCTCTCACTGAATTACAACCTTGTCAGGAGCCTATTATCCACATCCATATATCCATTTATGCACCCAGAGATGGAGGTTTTTTTCCAATTAAGGTCGGTTTTTTTTTACCAAATCAAATACCTGCACAGTAAATTACGTTCCTGGTGCCAGGCTGGCTCTGCCCTGGGACACAGGGGGTTTGTTTGAGTGCCTGGGGAGGTCCCACGGAGCTGAGGAAACGCTGCCTGACCTTCCCACCTGGGGGGTTTTATTTTGGGGGGGTGGGGGGAATATTTACCACAACACATCCCAGGGCTGCTCCTTAATGGTAAAAATATTCCAAGGAAAAGCGTGGAGGCCTGGGGTGCTGGGTGAGGGAAGGAAGGGGCTCAGTAATGGGCTGCAGCCATCCAAGATGTTTGCTCATCTGTTTTCTGAGGCCGGTTTGTTTTGTTTATTAATAAGCCTTGAAATGCCAAGGGGAAGGGTTAAGGTGAACTCAAAATGCCACATGTTCCCCTTGTGCTGGCTGAAATTACTGGGGTTTTTCCCTTTTTATCCACCCCGATTTCCCCCCAGGAAAAGATGCTATTGTTGTTTTAGAAGAGGCCAGAAATCTCAGCAGGTTAAACAATTTACTGAAGGTCAGTTCAGTCATGGCCCAGCGCTTGCCATGCTCAGATGCAAAATAGTCCACGAAACAACAACTAAAAAGAAACCAACTAAATAATAATAAGTATAATAGAAATTAATAAATTAAATTGTATAATAAAAATAAAAAAAATAATAAAAATAAGTGGAGTAATAAAAAATTAAATAATAAAAAGAAATTAAATAATAATAAGAAATTGAAAAATAAAAATAAACTAAAGAAGAAGAAATTAAATAATAAAAACCTAAATAATAAGAAATTAAATAATAAAAATTAACTAAATAATAATAAGAAATTAAATAATAAAAATAAACTAAATAATAAGAAGAAATTAAATAATAAAAATAAACTAAATAATAAGAAGAAATTAAATAATGAAAATAAACTAAATAAGAAGAAATTAAATAATAAAAATAAACTAAATAATAAAAATAAATTAAATAGTAAAAAGAAATTTAAAAATAAAAATAAATTAAGAAGCTTTGCTTTTCCATGGAGGAAAAGGGGAATAAAAGTTACGAACAAACAGCATTTTTACACAAACAGGCAGGAGATGCTCCTGCTGTCACTGGGAATTTCCAGGGAAGAATTCCACACAGGACGAGTTTTTATCTCATGGCAAGTTCAGCAAATCCAATAAATCAGAACATCCTTAAGATCCAAGGTCTTATCCAAACCTCTCCAGAAGATGCAGGTCCTTCAGAGATCTGCACATCCAGGAATCTTAAATGTTTGATACATCCAGGAACCTCAAAGGCAATAAAATCCTGAGGTGTTTCTGGAGGTTTTATCTCATGGCAAGGTCAGCAAATCCAATAAATCAGAACATCCTTAAGATCCAGGGTCTTATCCAACCTCTCCAGCAGACACAAATCCTTCAGGGGAGGGTGACCCACACACGAGACAGGTCCTGCCCAACCCCTCTGGTGCCTCATTGTTCTCCCTGCTCCAAGGGGGAGGAATTGGCCACTCCAGGGAATGGCCCAGAGACAAAATGTTAATTGTGAAGTGATTTAATTCCATCACAGCCCTTATTAAACGAGGTACAGAACATAAAGGTGGCCTGATTCTATTTTTGATGCAGATATTATGGAAATTTATGTCCCTGGTGATGCCAATCTCGTGAACCCCCTCAGGTTTCTGAACAGTTTCCAAGCTGTCCCCTTTGCTCAGGGTGGAATTCTTTTAATTTTGTTCTGGTTTTGCAGCGGGGCCTGGCGAACTCCCCACGTGTGTTTTGTGTGCTGCCCTTTCCTGCCAGCCAGGGGCTGCATCTGGCCCTGGGTTTTTTTGGCTGCTGGAAGAAAAGTTTGTTTCTGAGGTGAAAAATTTGCCTTTTAAATTTCTGCGCAGTTCATACCCGGATTATAATTCATAGCCAGGGCTGAATACCAAATGACCCTGCTCCTCATTTCCACAAATATCCTGAAAGGCAGAGAGGGAAAACACTGGCCCAACTCCAGTGCTGCTCCCAAATCAATGGCATTTATGGAAAGGTTGGATTTGGCCTCTTCCATCTTTCATTTCAAGCTCTCAGATTAACAGAATATAAATATTGCATGATGCCCCAGAGCTGCCCCAGAAAATGGCTCCAAGATGCATCTTTCCCCCTTGAACAAGGCAAATATTGTGGGATGGAGGCT